GAGTTCCGTGAACGTTCCGTTTTCGTTGGGAAGGAACAATCCTTGTCTGATTGTCAATCTGTCAGCTTCCAATATGTGTCTTTTCAAGAGTTCAGGTTCGTTCATTACACAAATGAAAAAAGTGTGAGTTTGTGGGTATTTTTCGCAGCCTATTGGTCCTGCTCGTAGAAATCTCGACTCACACGAACTTGCATAGGAGAACGTCTGCTTTGATATCTCTACAATCTATAAGAATATAGACAATAAGCTAATAAATTACCATGGATAAGATTCCACCAAAAAAAAGAGCATCTTTCCCACATACACTGGGGATCATTATAAATCCTGCACCAACTATGTGACCAAATCCTGATATCCCAGTTCTCGTCATGGCATCGGTATAGGTTCCTATTTAAGCAGAAGCCGAAGTTGAAGCACTTATATCTGCTAAATATTGGGATAATGATATACTGTATGACAGATAAACAATTTCAATAACCAACCATGAAATTACTATCAAACATATGTTTCACAAATATAGCATCTATCGGTATTTTAAATAGACAATCGTCTTTAAATAAAGGTTCTTCTAAAATTTTTATGTTGTAGTATCATAATAAAAGTACAATAGCATTAAAGTATCGCTATATAATAAAATCAATACTAATTTTGATGGAAGGGAATCAATATATATGGAATAAAAAAAGAGTTATTGAATCAATAAAATACGATTCTGTTAAAACTCAAGATTATTTGATAGGATATTCAAAAGAGGTAATTATTAAAGACTGAAAAGCTAATAAAGAAGGTATTAACACATGATTGATAAAAAATTCTAAAGGAAAAAACATAAATTTTGATATACAATAATACAAAGGAAACTGCTTGCTGTAAAAGAATAATATATGTTAGATTTTGGTGTTAGATTATACATGATACCAGTAGCATCAAATAAACCGATAACAACTACTTACTGTCATTATGTATACAATATAAAGAATATTCTTTTAGTAGGTTTATCAATAGATTTAAAATCTGTAGTAATTATTTGATTAAATAATCTTAATGACAATATAGGAGAAAAACGTTTATTTGATATGTTATCAGCCTTCAAGGGGTGGTGTCAAAGATAGTAATAACTAGGACATCTTAGTCCTCAAAAGAAGATACAGATAACAATCAGAAAAGATTCTGTATTCAAATCATTAATTTCAAACTTACTACTTTTCTTTTTCTGGAGTTCGATAATAAATCTTCTGATATTTCTGCATTCTCATATAAATTATCATTATCTTAAACGAAATGCACTTAATTTTATTTGGGTTAAACTAGAGAATCGAAACTAACCTTGAAGTTTTTCCCTTCATTTTGGAAATTATTTTACATCACATATGATATTAAATTCAGCATTTTGTTCAAAAATATCAAACTATGTAATCGAAGGTAACATAAAAGGTCCATTGTTCTAAGTTAAGACCTGGTGATGATATTGATTCAAGCTCTCTAGGAGAATCGCAAGATTTTGAGAATTTCTCTATAACTACATAGAATAATAATAAAGGGGAAACAGTTATAATAAATTGCAGACATTATTGACAATAATAAAAAATAACCATAAAATATATACAATAGAAACATTAAGACCTTTGGCAACAGAATGTAAAGCAAATTATAAAAAATTATATATAACTGTAAATGGAAGGATTTAAGTTATTGAGGCAATGAAATAGATAAATTCAAAGGAGTAGTTCAAGAAATAGAACGGACATATAAGAATGAATATGATAATACTAAAAATTTAATAAAAATGGTAGATAAACTATAAATTAATATTAAACATACTAACAAAGGAATAGATTATAAAGCAAGGTATAATAGTGAAAGAGGGAATCAAGGACAATAGCCTATAATATCTGATTTAAAAAAGAAAGACAGTTATTCAGGAAAACACCCAGGACCAGAGGAAAGAAAGGATATGAATGATTTGTTACACAAGAAGGATTAGAGTAGAGTTAAAAATAGTATGTTATATAATTATTTGAATGGTACAAAGAAAGGGATTAAAGGAAACTAATATCCAAAATTATGGAATTGAAGGAATAAAAATTAGTAATGGTTATAGCTAGCTGTTATAAAAAAGTGGGGGTCATTCAAACAAAGATGACGCAGAAGAATATCAAAAAAGTAAAGGAAAATAGAAGTACGAATAGAATTCATAAATTTCAGTCTCTGATTTTGGTTGGGACACGTGCTAGTTGTCCTGTGGGGAGGAAAAAAAAGAATCCGGCATATTCTCAAGTATTCCGTAAACTGCCCCCTCTCTGGAATGATTTTAAGTCCTTCAAATTCCATGAAATAAGTTATCAAAAAAACCTAGCTCCTTTCAAGATGGGTATTCGCCACACCAACTCATAAATTAATCCACTCAATACGTTTTGGATCTTAGCTTAATTCTGGTAAGTCATCTTATCCAATTTCATAGTCAAATCATCACCAGGTGAGATAGACGAAAAGCTCACAATAACCCAAATGAAGTATAAAGGGGTGGATTGATCCTAAAGTAAATGTTCTTCAATGATAGAGATGTTTTTACCGTCAACATTATTCGGTCAACATTATTCGCGAGAAGACTATGGGCAGTGTACAAGCCACTGATACCTGAACCAATAAGATTGATACCCATGGGAAATTTACAAAATCTGGCTGGACATTCAAGGAGAGATTAAGCGTAAGAAAATGGTGATCTGTCAGCCTGAAATTAGCGATCTTCAAGTGTTACGGCATATTCAACGAGAGGGCAAAATTTTGCGTATGCGTCCTTAATTAGTACTCATACTTTATTTCAACAATTATACCCCAACAGATAGCCACGGTGGTGGTTTGAGCAAATTAAGAGTTCATAATTACATAGATCCAAAGTAGTGGATTGAGTATATTTGAAGTGCTACAACCTTAATAGCCTGCAGATCAATAATTTCAATGGCGCGATGGCACTCCTTCCTTTGGTTCTAAATTCAGTTCTTTATAACAAGTCTTTATTTTGGAATCATTCTCTTCGTATTATTCTGACTGTCCAAGAAGAAGTTTACTTTCCTGCGCATGTAAATGATTTTGATGCTTCACAAAAATCTGTGGACAAGTTACCAATGTAAAATAGCAGCAAAAACCCGACTTCAACTTGAGAAGCCTTCTAAAATTCAATTCTATGATATAAAGCATGCTAAAATTTGACATGTGCCCAAAAACGTACCCAGAGACTCATCCAAGAATGCCCTTCAGAAAATTTTGGATTTTTGCTCTTCGAAAGAACACAATACAATGAACACATTTGGACTCGCAACCTGATATTGACTATCGAGTAGAACCAATTGAATGTTAATCGAAAAAGGCAAAAATTAAAATGAACGGAAAATACCTGGACATTAACCAGATTAAAATGAAATGGCAAAGGGAATTCCAATTAGACAAAAAGCTTTAGGTCTTCGTAAATGCTCTCTTTATCATCAATTTCCCCAACAGGTAAAATTGTTAATTTTGGTAATTGTGAAGATAAGCTAACATCTATTCTCTATTGTTAACGGTGTAATGGCCGGCGATGTGAATTTTGTGACATCACCAAGTCTTCGGGTGTCAATTCTCAATGGAGGGTTTAAATCCGTGCAGCGCAGAATAATTTAATCTGCGGACTTGTCACCCCGACTACATACGCGCTAATTTGGAAAGCTGAGCATATAATCAGACCATATCTATCAACCAAGACTTATACACAGGTAGTCAATGATTATCAGTGGTACAACACGAACTGAGTGGTCAATTACGCTAACTAAAATTGGATAGTTAAAAATTGTATCAGGCTGTCTTAAACTCAGCAAATCCTCCCACTCACAACTCAAGATATAACACGAGAAGTTTAACCCACAACGTTCAGAATATCAAGCAATATTTCCCTGCTATGTTTCCCTAATCAAACTCGTATTTAAATTTCACAGATACTTCCAAAACTTATCCCTATCCCCAAGGGGATCCCTTGTCATTAAAAATTCCACCAAATTGAACATTTCCCCATCAGGAAACAATTAATCCCAAATTGTGAATATCTTACTTTCGTAACATTTGAACAACTCATTCAAAGACGTCATGGAGTCCCCTATTGTTTAAAATATGGAATTATATTTTTTAATAGCTTATATGAAGGACTACGAGAATGTAATTTATGGGAAAATATTTTTATGCACTGTTGGAAACGTAGGGATGAAACAGCTCACTGTGAAGTTCTGCTTTTGGAACGGTCGTTATCCGATGAGCCTTTAAGCGGTTATGCGTTTACTTTTTTGAGTTAACAAAAGTCCACATTGGGAAACTATCCATCCCATTCATGTTGTAAGCCCAGAGCTAAGAGATACAGACCTTTTGGTGTTTTTCATTGGTTGGTTTGTTTCTAGTAAATAGAAATGGCCACATGTCTTGAACATTGTTACGAGATAGGCAAACTTTGTGGTAAAGGTAGCTTGACAATTTTTCTCTATTTTAAACTTGAGGTCCATTCCTTCGTATGTTTGTGTACTTCGATTCAAGAAACCAAGCTCCAAGTATGCTCGTGTGACCTCAGCCATCCGAACCAACGTTTAAGCACACAAAATTAAGGTATTAGTTTTGTCTGGCGTCCTGATCCCATGACCATGCTTGCATTTCATCAAATATCAATTCGGAAACGCCTGGAAAAAAATGGCATTACTATAAATAGGAAGCAAATTTCTTTCTTCAAAACACAAATCATGTATATCAACTTACTTACCATTTTACTCACAATCGTGAGTGTTGGAGCAGTCACAGTAGGTAATTGTGAAATTACCGACATCGAGGAAGGTTGGACAGTTGATTATTATAATAATACCATGGGAAACTGTGGAGGAACCACCTGTCTCAACTTCCTTAATATTTTGGATGATGGAACACCAAATTACACATTTCATAACATTAAGAATTTGACTGTTGATTACAATCGTACCATAACTGTTATAAATTATGCTTATCTTTATGGACAGTATCTTGATGTTAATTCTTTTGGTCTGAGAGCTACTGGTTATTTCTATGCTCCTGAAGACGGTAATTATACTTTCGTTTTTGATGGTGCAGATGATGCTGCTGCAATTTACTTGTACACCAATTTAGATTACGATTGTTGTGGTCAAATTGATGAATTGACTGGCTCTGTCCCCATCATGGCGGCGACTTACTCACGTACACCACCAGATTATGAGGTAACTTTACAAAAGGGTTATTATCCAATGAAGATTATGTATGTGAACTATGGTAACAGAGGTGTATTGAAATTCCATGTCGTATATCCTGACGGGAGTATAAAGTCTACTGATGATTTGCCGGGCTATTCGCCAGGACAAGATAATGGATGTGTTAGGACCACTACTATTACAACTTCTTGGACAGAAAATTATAGTTCCACCACCACCACAGCTCCCACAGGAACTGGTAACATCACTGCTACGGTTATTGTAGAAGTACCCCCATTATCAACTACTACCCTTACTAGTGGTTCAGTAACAACAACTTACTTGACTACTATTACCACTGGTTCGGTTCCTGTTACTGAGTATGTTACTGTT